CTATTAGAATTATTATCTACTTGTTTGGACAATTGGTTTCTTCTACCACCAAAGGATCTCATAATCTTTTTGCGGTAGTGGCAATGAAGTAGGTACACTAATATACATGACAAAATAACAAGAAATCGATTCAAGCACATCGCATTAATTTCCAACAATACCCTCCAAAAAGGGCAAATTTGAGAGCAATTATTGGCCTTATTTCTTACCCAATTTATCGGTAAGAATTTTCAACCACATTTACTCGTTAATGATACATCATTTCTACTTTAGAAAATGTTCTCAGACAATGTATTGCTACAAACTCAAAAAGGTGAGTTGATTTTCTCAAATTGGTAACTAAAAAGAGAAAACTGCTAAGCGTGTACGTTCGAATAACAATCTTTACTTCTCCAAGATTTGATCCAACAACATAAAAAAAAATAACTTTTGTTTTAAGACCATAACTACTCAAATCTATCCATCAAGTGCTCCAAGAGCTTTCATGTCCTCCAAGAAAGCTGAGTAAGAATCATCAATGCTCTGTGGCTTTGAAGCCGCAGGTGCCTTGGCTGACTCTACCTTCACCGGAGCAGCAGAAGCCATAGCTCTTGGTGTAAAACTCAAGCTTGAGGCTATCGAAGTCTTTGGCTTTGGTTTGGTTACAGTTGCTGATTCTCTTCTGACCCGAACCGAGGCAGGGACCTGCAGACCAACAACAACAAATAAAACCGTTTGACTCTGTGCACGGAATTCACTTGTGATAAATCAAAAAGGTATTAGTGAATTCATGTCTATACTCACCATGGATGTAAGCTCAGGTGTGTGTTGAGCGAGTGGTCTCCTGACAACAGTAGGAGCAGCGGATTTTACATAAGACGGTTTGTTTGGTACATACGGTCTGATCATTGCTTGACCTTCTTGAAAACTAGACGGTGGTGGTCCTGGTGGAAGCTCAGATACATACGGTCTGATCATTGCTTGACCGTCTTGAAAATTAGACGGTGGTGGTCCTGGTGGAAGCGGCGGCCTCATCATAGGAGGCGGTCCAGGTGGTGGTCCATATGGTGGCCTCGACATTAGATGACCACCCAACATTCCAGGGAGAGGAGGATGCATATCGAGTGGAGGCGGTGGAGGTGGAAAATGCAACATTCCTGGAGGCAGAAGAACATCAGGTTGAAAATTAGTCAGTGAAGCACCACTTCCTGCAAATGTTGATTGATGTTGCTGATGTAAAGGTGGTGGTGGTGCAACCATCTTAGTGAGGCTAGCGTTTTGAAAGTTACTGGCATTAGATTCTGATGGACCATTCTCAGATTCGTTGCTTGGAGGTTTTGAAGGAAGGCCGGATGGTGGGGGAGGAGGGATGAAAGTTATATTAGCGTTCTGCAACAATGGAGATGAAAAATTGTAATCAAGTTTCAATCTATTTCTCCATCTAATAATACACACAAAAAAACATATCAATAACAGAATGAAGTTTACCTTGCGATCAACGCCTTCACTTCCATTCAAACC